TCTATTTTTGAGACAAGATCTCACACTGTCACCCAGGCTGGAGTGCAGTGGCATGATCACAGCTCACTGTAGCCTCTACCTCCTGGGTTCAAATGATCCTTTCACCTTTGCCCACCACACCCAGCTAACTTTTGTATTTTTTGTAGAGATGGGGTTTTACTCTATTGCCTAGGCTGGTCTCAAACTGCTGAGCTCAAATGATCTGCTTGCCTCCCAGAGCACTGGGATTATTGGTGGAAGCCACCATGCCCCACCAGTGCATATGTCTTTAATGATTGATTTCTACAGGTACCAGTTGTCAGATACCAATTTTTGAAGTTTAAATTGAAACTGGATAGAATCCATAAATCCACATAACCAAGTATAGATAAATCCTAGCACATTGCAATGCAGCATTCAACTAGTTTAAACACCACTGTTGTCTTCTATGATTGTGGGATTCCCATACTTTCAGGATACCTTGAATATAGAACACAACTTATGAAGGTATAATTTTGCAGGCCTAGTGAATACATATGTGTATCTTACTGAAAACAAGACACTGGATTCTAAGATGTACCATCAAGAAAGAAAAAATACTGCCAATTATGATTATAAGATGCCATCCTTGGCTGGGCACAGTGGCCCACGCCTATAATCCCAGCACTTTGGGAGGCCTAGGCAGGTGGATTGCTTGAGGTCAGGAGCTTGAGACCAGTCTGGCCAACATGGTGAAACCCTGTCTCTACTAAAAATACAAAAAAGAAAATTAGTCAGGCATGGTGGCACATGCCTGTAATCTCAGCTACTTGGGATGCTGAGGCAGGGGAATTGCTTGAAGGGAGGTGGGGGTTGCAGTGAGCCGAGATCATGCTACTGCACTCCAGCCTGGGCGGCAGAACAAGACTCTGTCTCAAAAAAAGAAAATTTAAAAAGATGCCATTCTCTTAAGACATATTCCTTTTCAGAGATATGAAAATGTAAAAAATGTCTTTCGGGAATTATTGAAAATATGATAGTAAATATTGCTAAAGCCTATCATTTGAGAAGGATTATAGTTTAGCAGTTAATCTGGTGCCAGATTGCCAGGGTTTGGATCTTGTCTGCTGCTTGTAAGCAAACTTTGTGATTTTCAGTGAATTATTTATTATGTCTGTGCCTTAGTTTAAATATTAAATGAATTAATAAATGTAAAATGTTTAACCTAGTGCCTAACCC